GTGCCGGGGCGTGGCGTGGCGGGGTGCGGCGGGGCACGGGGCGGGGTGTGGCGCAGAGGGCACGTGCCCCTCGGGGCCGGGTGGTGGGCCGTACCGTGCCAGGGCCGCCGTGCCCGTCCTGGCAGCTCCCCCACCAACACCACCACACACATCGCAACGTCTGCCTCCGAGTCCTTTCGCAAAGCCCCTCTTCGCTTTCCCTCCCCCCCGCGCCCCGCCTCCCCGCGTCCCTCAAAAACCCTCTTGGCTCCCCTAATCCTTGGCTCATGCTCCCTCTTTCGCCACAGCCAAGGCCTCGACGGAAGTCTCGCGTCTGTCCGCCTGTATGTCTGTACGTCTGTCCATCTCGACAGCGCCAGCCTGTCTGTTCCTCTTGCTGTCCTGTCGCGGTGTGCTCATGCATGATGCAGGGGTCAAGGGTAAAGTGCACGTCGGATTGAATATTGAATACTTTTCTCGTCACAGGAGTGTAGCATAGTAAAACGACATGTACTTTACACGTCTTTTCGAACACGCTCATTTTGTAAAGGACCTTATTTGCTTGCCGAAAAACATTGTGCAGAACGCCCGCAAAGCGGATAAAATGTTTTCAAAAACTGTTTGTGTTATGGAAGGCTGTAATACGTAACACAAACTGTGCTCCGTAAGATACAGATAATTTAAAAATGTCTGTAGGGTTGGTTAATATAACGGATAAAATCCTTCGTAATGCAGATATATTTTACCGTTAGTACATGCACCTGCGGGTGAACCTGTGGCCATATCAACTTAAGGGAGACCGCAGAACCGCAGAACCTCAGAACAGCAGATGCATTATAGACTAATATTTGCTAGTACGATCATAATTCTGCATGTAAATGCGTATTTATGAGATTTATGAGTAAAATCACCAGTTCCAACATCCAGTATCACATTGGCCGTCGAAACACAGAGATCGCGGATTTTGAGTATCTTAACCCTACTTTCGGGAATAACAATATAAACCACGATCCATTAGACTGTTAGTAATACTAGATGTTGCTGTTAGCCTTTTCTTGTTATTAAAACCCATTTCCATACGAAAATTATGATCGTACTGGCAAATATTAGTCTATAATGCATCTGCTGTTCTGCTGTTCTGCTGTTCTGCGGTTCTGCGGTCTCCCTTAAGTTGATAAGGCCTGTATGTCACGTTTGCGCACAAAACTCGACGCAAGTGATGAGGAAGTAAGTGTGTAGTACATAATTTGTATCCCGAGGCTACAAAGGTAAAAGTCTCGGCGCACTGTGAAAATTATATTCGTAAATTTCCAACATATTTTGTGTATTTACGATTTCCAGAATATGTTGTTACGACTACCCACTCTTGCTTGTCTATAAATTCAAAGTCGATACATAGTGCCTGTAGTTTCACAATTTCAAGTTTGTTATTTTACAAACAAACATCATGCATAATTACCCTGTAACCCCCACAGGAATTATTTCCCACAGTGGCGCGACAATATGGGCAGAGCAAAAGGCGGAGCCGATTTTCCGCACGGAACACGGGTGGTGCGGCGCGCCATGGCAGGCTGCGGGTTTGGCCTGGGCGCGCCTGAGCCTGCAATGCGCAATAGAGTGTCTCTTTTGTGGCCTTGGCTCCAGGAGAGGAGTTTCCTGCCCCGCCCCGCGCCGTGCTCGACGACGACTTTTCACGAGTTTTGGAGGACGGCTTTGGGACGAGGGACGAGGATGAGAGGCGGCGGGGAAGGCCGTCGTGTGCTGTAGGTAGCGGCCATCGAGTGCGAGAAATGAATCAGGGAGAGAGGGAGGGGGTAGGGATACGACAGCGGGGTTGGGCGAATGTAGGGGGAAGGGAGACCCGGCAGGTGGAGCCAGGGCGATTTCGGTGTCCCCCCCTTCCCACCGAAAGAAAGGTAGGCCACACCACCACCTGAACGGGGGGTCTGCGGTTAGCCGGCTCTGCAAAACCTCGACTAAAAACTCTACCCCGAGAGTCTGCTGTGCCGGGGGGCTCAACGCACGAGCGTCGTTCGCAAACCGAGTCCCTAGGGAAGGGGGGTAGATCGAGGGGTACTTCACTACAAAATCAAGCGGATATTTTTCTAGTTTTCCCTGATTTTTTTTCTGAATATTTTCCCTGATTTCCTTTGGAGGAGGCACATTGATTTTTTTGGAGGGAACTACCCAGATAGTAGCGTTACTCACCGGGCATGATGGAGACAGTCTTGAGGGCCCGCAGCACGCGGAAGGTCCTCAGCCCGGCGAGGTTGCCCACCTCCATGCCGATGGTCGCGTACCCGGACGTGATGACCACGAAGTCGAGCCAGTTCCATGGGTTGCGCAGGTACGTGTACTTGTTGAGGATGAAGCCCTTGGCCACCGACTTGATGATCATCTCCGCCGTGTAGATGGCCAGAAAGATGTACCTGGAATAATATTGTTGGAGTTAATGGCTCTGGCTGGCGGCGCGGTCTGCTCCTCCTCCTCTTCCCTCCGCCCCGGACTGGCCAGCCGCCTGCCCGGCTGCCTCGTCCGTCCGGCCGGCCCATTTACCTTCCCCCGGCCCCCCTCTCCCGCAAACTTTGTGCAAAGCAAGTCCCTCAGGAAGGCAGGGCCGGGCCGGGCCGGCGGGGTTGGGGCAGGAGGATAGAGGGGGTGGAGGCTCATAACCTTCACCTCGCACGGCGGGCGGCGGGCTCCTGCATCGCATCGCAGAGATTCAAAACCAGCAGGAGAGGGAGGCTGGGCTAAACTGTTTCCACGTGTTTAAATAAATCAGAGTCTGCTCCTTTACGACTACACACCTCTTTGGTAAGGCAGAGCAGGGGAGTGTTTGGGGCGTCCCAAATGCGCTTTGACACTTCAGCGCAATCATAAAAGCACCAAGCACAATGGCAACGTTGAATCGTTGTCAGATTTATCATTCTTTTTACACGTGTTAGTAAAACTTGACCACAGTGTGTCTAACAAATAAGTCAGTCCCAAAGAGTAGTTCGAACTTTGTAGTCTCTTGTTTAAATTTAGACTATATCGCATCATTGTTCCCACTACTGCCTGATTTGACAGTGTTGTTGGGCCGAGGAAAGTGGGGTTTTCCGGACAGGAAGAGCAAAAAAAGAAAAAAAAGAGAATAAAAGAGCACAGAGAAGCGAATCGAAAAAAAATGCGCAGCAACTGCGTGCGAGGGCACAGAATCAGTGAAAAACTCGGCTTCTCATTTAAGCCGCTGGAGCGTCATGAAATATGCATTGGCATGGTGTATCCACACCGTAAAGGTCTGGTCAGATCTTTGGAAAGAGAGGATACAGGGCAGTGCAAAAGAGAAAGGGAGGAAGGCACCCCTTGCCTTTGGGAGAGCGAAAGGATACGCGATAAAGGACGAGACAGCAGTGGGAAAAGATAGGGCAGGGAAAATAAGGAAATAGATGTAATGTTACTCACATTTCCCATTTCCCATATTCCGGACAGAAGCCAGAGTAAAAGTAATAAAAATGCGGAAGATTTAATACTCACTCTGCCTGCTCCATAGGTTCAGTCATGGCGAGAAACACACAGTTGAGCAAGATGGTGGCCATGACGAAGTAGTCGAACAACTGGTTGGTGGACAGCCAGATGCAGACGCGTCGCGTCCGGTTCCACGGCGAAAAGAAAAAGAAGGAGCTGGTGGCGGTGAACCGGTGGATGTAGTTCTTACGGAAGCGCTTGGACACGACGCAGAAGGTCTGCAAGGCAAAAGAGAAGGAAACACTGAATTAATGACACAATCTATTCCCAGACACGAAGTTCCGCACATGGCGTGTAATCCGGCCGCATCAGACTTTCACGAGCGGCGGCGACTGCGCCTCAAAAACCAGGAACGCCACGCGTTGGCGCGGCGTTGGAACGCCAATAACAAGCGCAGAGCAAAACCTCCCCTGTTTAAAACGTCGCGCGCATTCCAAACTTGTGTTTGTGTCAATATCGGGGGAGTGGGCGGGGTCCGCCACCACCGCGCGCGCGTGTGCGACGCGACAGCCAGGTGCAAAGTGAAAATCCAATTGGAGTGAGCCCGACCCGGGCCGCCCGTCGCGCGCTTCCATTCGGGATGCGCTCTATTTGCAAAATAAATATACCTCTCCCCTTCCTCCTCCTCCTCCTCCTCCTCAGGACCTCTCGCTGCGGCGAATAATGCAATATTCGGGGGACTGGCTGCGTTCGTCGGGGAGCGGGCCGCCGCCGGGGGCCGAGCCGCCTTGTCCGTAATGGGCGAGCTTGTTCGGCCGCAGCCCCGAGTGGCTGGGCTGGCTGGCGAGGGTGGGTGGGGGGTCTCCATCACAGTCTGCCGCAGACAGCGTGCCGCCTCTCGGCCCGTGGTGCTGGTGGACGCCCTGGCCCAATTTACAATGAGTAACGCGGCCGTTGGAGAGACCATCATAGCCGTGGTTGGTTGTGGCGCCGCAGGTTCGAGTCCCCCCTTTCAACCACTGACGCTGCTGACCTTAAACTACGTTTTTGGCAGGTGACACTTGGACTGAAGAAAAATACAGAGGCGTCCCAATCGGCCTAATACTTCAATTTTCATCGAATGATTTCACAAAGCGTATATACGATATTCGGTATACCTTGACAATTTTATTTCTCTTGTTGCTCTCTTCTCTTAGCTCGCATAATTAGCTTCTGATTAGGGACCAATAAGTGAATGCATAAGCTATTATTTCAGCCAATCCTTTTTTACCGTGCATTTGGAACACGGTAACACGGTAATACAATTTTAAAAAACGGGCGCCAAAATGTAGCCCAGCCGGGCGAGCTGACCAGTGGCCTCAACGAACCGCAATAATCCAGCGCGAGAGCTATCCAATCCGCACCACACACATCACAGCGAGATGAATAACAGAAGAGCAGAGCAGAGCAAAAGAGGAGAGCTGGGGCACAAAAAAAAAAAAAGTTTGAGTATAGAGACTGCGGGTTCGAATAAATGGCCAGCGCAGATCCGACAGGAAGGCTGATTGGCGTCCGTTTGGATTATTCGTGTGAGATGGCCAATCCGAGCGGTGCCCAACTCACGTAGTTTGATGTACAAAAATGAGTTTACCACAAGGGTAATCTCTGTAAGCCCTGGTGATCTCTCAATAGTGCAAAAAAGAAAACCGTAAACGGAGAGCGTAATCCGTGGTAATCTCAAAAGTAATCGGTAATCTGGTCTGGTGCACACAATTTTATCTCGTAGCGCACGCCCCTCGGACCAACGCTGAGCGTGATAAGTCGAGAGAGAGAGAGAGGGGGGGGGCAGAGTGAGGGAGAGAGGAAACCACAGAGGCGGTGGATCGGGCGCACGGCAAGAAGTGGCGAGGCGTAGCAGCGGTGCGGCCACGTCAAGGCCTCGGGAGAAAAATAAATCTGGGTCAGTCAGAAAGGAGCAGAGCGGCAAGAGGGCCACTGCAACAGAGAGAGAGAGGGGGGGGGGGGCTGCGTCCGTGAAATTAAAGACGGAGTGCGAGAAGGGATTTTCACACATGGGGTGAAGTTTGGAAGTTCTCTCGAGAAATTTGGAATAAGGAATAGCATTACAAAGAGATCCACATCCGCCAAAATAGTGCAATGTGCTTAACGAAACGAAAGCAGATCGAGATCATCGAGATGCACCAGGAAACATGGCACGAATTTTCAGAGACAGTACACGCACTAGTGCAACTGCAATATTTTAAGTGATTCCTCGCGAACTGGACGAAATTTTCAGATGATTACAATGAACTAAGAAAAAAATATATTAGAGATTTAAACAGATACAGAGAGAGGAGAATGCACTGCAGAGCTAAAGTGTGCGTACTTGCATGCAGTACCTCCGCAGCTGCACACTTGGGTTAGTATGTATTGCGAGTACAGTGTGCACAATAATTTCATAGCGAGATTTTGGCAAACAAATCTGTGGAGAAACGTACGTAATAATTCTTTAATAAAAGATGATCGCAAAGCAGTTGCGAATAGCGCGGGATAGCGTGGGTACGAGACGGCACGTAGCCGAACCCAGCACCGGGCACGCCCTTCAATCCCCCCCCCCTCCCCCCTTTCTTTTTCTTTTTATTTGTTTCTTCCAACGTGTGAATCGCGCTAAAACGGCTCAACAGTTTGCGGAATGGCAAACACGTGCGCGCGACGCGTGCCGCGGGAGCACCGCCGACAAATTTATCGCGTCGGAGAGCAGCGAGTTCGTCACGCGCGCTGCCGCCGTTTGACGGATGATCCGTCTATTTGCGTCTCTCTCTCTCTCCCCTCTCATCCCCGCAGCGAGTGCCCTGCACTACACACAGGCACAAGTGTTTGCTTGCTTCACTTTTTCCCCCGCGACAGCTGTCAGGTAACACACCACCACCACGTACCCCGTCCCGTACTACACCGACGAACGCGGAATGTGACACGCGGCTGCTCTTTTCTGTCTCAACCTACACCCCCACTCTCCCTTTTTGCTCTCCTCCGCTCTCGCTCTCCGCGTCACACACCTGCCATAGACTCCTCTCTCTCTCTCTCTCTCTCTCTCTCTCTCTCTCTCTCTCTCTCTCTCTCTCTCGCAGACCCACGCCACGGTGCCATACTCTGGCTGCTGCTGTCCCGCGCTCGTCCCAGCGATTCATGTGTTTGTTTTCAAAAAGTCTGAGTCGGGAGTTGGGACGGGGAGGGGGTTGGGAGGGAATAGTGGGGGCAGAGGGAGAAGCGAGAGACGCTGGGGGGAAGGGGTATAGAGCAGGAGAGAGGGGAATGATGGCGGGCAGCAGTACTACTAAAAAAAAAAAGCGACGAGGAAAGCGCGATAATGGGTGACAGAAAAATGTATACGTAGCAGGGGCGCAAAAAGTTGTAAATAAAGCCGCCCGAAGCATTTCGGTCGCGGTGCTGCCGGGATGAGGGGGGGAGGGTTAGGGGAGAAAGGGTGTGAAGTGGGAGGGGGAGGGGCGGAGTAGCTCCCGCACTTCTTCTGATCGCGACGCCGCCAATTGATGACGGCAACAAGGCGCTTCTTTATGCTCGGCCCAAAATCACGTCTCTCTCTCTCTCTCTCTCTCTCTCTCTCTCTCTCTCTCTCTCTCTCTCTCTCTCTTTCACACACACACACACCCACTCTATAATCTCTGTCTCTCTCTCTCTACTCGCAGCTTTATTCACAATGTAGAGACTGCGAGGAGGAGAGGGGGTTGGGGGGGGGGGCTGGCGTGGGTGACTTCGCCTTTTGTTTGTTGTTCATTACATTCAAAAAGTCGCTCTTCGGGACTGCGCCAGTTGGGGGAAAGCAGTAAGGAGTGTTGGGGGAGAGGGAGGGAGGGAGGGTGAGAGAGAGAGGGGGGCGAGGCCATGGTTAAGTCAGAGAGACGCATAGCCCGATAAGCCAGGGAGGAAGGGAGAGACGGCGACAGACACACAGAGAGACAACTTTCAACAAGATCGATAAAGACGTAGCAAAAGAAAGTGAGCGCTTCTCGCAAGTAGAGAGCGAGAGAGCTGAGGGCGTTTTCGTTTGCCGCTTAGATTTAGGTATTTTGTTGTCTCGTCGTGCCTCTCCCCTGCCCTGCCCCTGGCTGCCACCGCGATTCCTGCGCTGACGACGACGACTTTCGAAGAATTCCTTCGCAGCAGGAGGAGGAGGTCGGCAGGGATGCTGGCCGGAAGGCTCTCCTCGCCCCCTCAACCGGTGGGTCGGCATTCGCGGTATTCGGTAGCCACCGAGGGCGGCCCGCTCCGCATCCCCCTCTCCTCCTCCTCCTCCTCCTCCTTTCACTCCCGCAATAACCGCCCCTAACACAGCCAATCAACCTGCGCTGGTCCTGATGAGGCCGACGCCAATTGGCCGCTCGGCCGCCCCCGTGCTGACCCGCGGGGCACCAATCACAGAGGCATGACGGTCCGACGGGCCACTTCAAAAGGCCATAAGGGACCGGCTGGCCCATGCAGAGGAGTGCACTGGGCTGAGCTGTACGAGTGCGGGCCCAGACTCACGGTGTTTAACACGGGGGGTTATTACGCGCGTTGCAGGGGTTTTCACTCGATTTAGTTTGTGCACTTTCAAGTGTTTCACTGCTCGGATTTGGGCACACCTACACAACACCGCAGAGAGAGCGAAAGAGCGAGGAAAAGAAAGAGAAAAGGAGATGGAGAGGGGGGGGGGGAGGTAAAACTGCGAGAGTGGGCGGATCCCCTGCATTCATGTGCATGCGAGCTAACTCCGGGAATGATCCGTAATTAGAGAAACACCTGTGGCTTACTGATAGACTTCCATCCATCGCCCTCGGCCCACCTCCTCCCTCTCCTCCCTCCCTCCCTCCCTCCCTCTCTTTCTCTCTCTCTACCTCCCTCCCTCTCAGCGAGCCCACTCTCCGCTTCCAGCAGCGCGCGCCAGACCAGAACTATTAATTGAGGCGACGTGATTTTAATTCGCAGCGCGCAGAGAGCACGAGAAGTGGGGGTCTCCTCTTAGTCTTCATCACATGCAAAGTGGGAATGTCTCCACAGCGCCGGTGGGAGTCGCATGCGGAGGGAAAGGCTGTTGCGCGGCTCTATGCGCGCCCAAGAAATGTTTGTAGCAAAGTAACTGCGAGAGACGTTGAATGAAAAGAAGTCGAACACTATAACCAGCAAATCGTGTCCGTACTTTACATTTTCGCGTGTTTACAGATTTACAGACTGGAAAAATTTACAACAACCAAGAAGTTTAAAACTACGACGGTAAATAAACTTACTTTTTAAGACCCTG